GACAGTGTAGACAGCCTTTTTGAGGTAGACTGCTCAGATTCAAGGGCAAGCTTTTCTTCGTTTTTTTTTGTTTTGTTTTTTTATACAGTTTTTAATTCACAAATGCATGACATTCAAAATGAAACAACATAAGTACTACAAGTACAATATGCAGCAATGAGGTAGAAATGGTTTTAAAGGATGCACAACTATAAAACTAGGATGGGAACTACATTAGAAGCAATTCTCAACATTAAACTAATTACAGGAATACTGAAAGAAAGTGATTTAAGTCACCGAGTCTGTATCGCTTGGGAACTTGATGTGCTTATCAAAGGCCCTGCTCAAGTGCCATCTGTGATCACAGGTCCTTTCTTTTTACCAAACTCCATAATGTAATGCATCTAGTTTTCTAAATCTTTAAAGATAAAAAAAAAAAAATATATGTGAAATATATACCACACATTTTGAAATGTTTTCTTTTTTGCAAAAACACAGTCCTATTGTCAGGTTGCTATTATATTTAATTTCATGCAAATGCAACATTAGGTATAAGTAAAACACAAAGCACATTAATGGACATTAAACCAGACGCTGTAGAGGGAGACACAACCCTTTTTAACCACTGTTTGGCATTTTATCAAACTAAACTTTTGCTCTTTTGGATAATTTAGGATCACCAAACATTTCTATTTGTTAGATGTCAAAATATTAAAGAAGACAGCTTATTTTTCAAATAAAGTGGTTTATAAGAAAATTGTGCAACTTTAAAAATATTAGTAAAATATCTTTCTAGACTGAAAGACAATTCAAAGAGGAAAAAAAAAACAGTTTGCCACTCCAGGTGGGAAGTACAAGTACATGAGTGGGAGCATCATACTGCGTGGATATTTTGTAGGAGAGGGTGGCACCCTACAAAAAACTGGTGACATCATGAGTAAAGGATATTATGTATGATTATAAATGGACAATGACATCACCAGCTCTAGCCCCAAGCACAAGGCCAAATTCCTTACAAAGCTGTTTGAGGATGACAGAGCCAAAGTTTTGAAATGTCCATCACAGAGATGCTTCCTCAGTCCCAGAGAAAAATTGTGGACACAGCTCATTACCTACAAACCTGGCTCAGTTGCACCAGTCCTGTCAGAAAGGAATAAGCCAAAATGTCATCACACTGCTGTGAGAAAAGTGTGAATGGAAACCCAAGATGTTAGAACCAAGTCAGACAGAATAAACAAATCTATGGAGAGTAAATCAATGGTGGTGTGGAAAAATTAGTTTCCCCCTTCCTGTTTTCCTTTTTTTTTTGCATGCTTGTTACACTTGCATGTTTCAGAACATCAAATCAATTTAGATATTAGCCAAAGACAACAGAAATAAACACAAAATGCAGTTTTTTAAATGATGAATGATTAATAAGGTAGAAAAAAATTCTAAAGCTACATGGCAATGGGTGAAATATATATATATATATATATATATATATATATA